CCTCCCTTCTTCCCCCTCAGCTCTTCTCTGCAGGCCCCTCCTCAAAGCGATCCCCTTCCCCCGGTCGCCTCGTCCCGTCCGCGGGTCAGCAGAGGTAGCTCCCGCAAACTCCTGCCATTGCCATGACCCCCGGCCAGCAGCCCAGCAGGTGTGAGCCCGCGCAGGCTGGTGAGGGCGAGCTGAGAAGTCAGCTACACCATTGTTAACGACGGCATCCCGGCAGCTGCTGGGTGGTAGACGCTGTCGAGAGGAGGAGGAGGAGGAGGAGGAGGAGAAGGAGGCATTCTTTTTCTCGTCTTATTAACACATGACAACACAAACCTCTCAGCACATATAGTCCAGCAGGACCCTAGCTCGTCAACCCGAGCTGAACTCCTGCAGCAGCCAGTCCTCGTTGAAGAACTGGAGTCGGTCGACCCCCGTGAACGAGCCCAGGTCGTAGTCGGTCAAGAAGCCCGAGACGAGCAGGTCTTGCGGGTCAGTTGCCAGCAGGTCAACCTCGTGGATCCCCTCCTCTCCGCCCAGCAGCTCGGTATCAGCCCGCTCCTTCAGCTGCGGCGCGTCGCTGGTGAGGGTTAGGGGCACGTCGGATGGCTTTACGGGGGTCTTAATCTCCCCCACGTCCAGAAGGTGCTCCATTGCTGCTTTCTCCAGCTCCTCCTCGCACAGCTTGCACTGCTCTGCCGACAGCAGGCAGCTCCCGCACAGCAGCTTGTGGAAGCACGTGACCCCCTTCCCGCACTCCTTGCACATGCTCTTGCCCTTGACGAGCACGTTCCCGTCGGGCGCCTTGGAGTTCAGCCGGATCGCTGACTTTGACATGCTCGGAAGCGCGGAGCTGCCCCAAGTCGGCACGACGCAGGTCACAAACTCGCCCCTGCGCGTGCACTCCTCGTGCCTCCCGCGCTTGAGGCAGCGAGTGCAAGGGACCTGCTCGTCGCACCGCAGCTTCTGCATCTTACACCTGTCGCACGCGATGGTCGTCTTGGACAGCTGTCGCTTCTTGTGGACGAAGCGAGGCAGGTCCATCCGGAAGGGGAGGGACGCGTTCATGGTAGCAGGAGGAGGGACTGGTTTGGAAGGGCTTAGCTTTTCCTAGTCGTCGTGGCTGATTATTTCTGTTGGCTGCTGCTCCAGTCGTCGAGCCCTGAGTCTTCGGCAGCTTCTAATTTCCTCCTCCCTCGGACTTCCTGTGGGGCACCAACAAGTCAAACTCTCATGTCAGCCGTGCTGGAATGCAGTCCAGCCGCACGCACGGTCGTCGTGGGGGCATCTGACCAAACATGCTTCCTCGAGATCTGATTTCAACTGCACTCCTCTTTCTCCTAACTCGGTCGTTCCCTCTTCGTCTTTCTCACTTGAGGCTTGTTTCTCTAACACCATCACTCCAGGCTCGAAATCGTTTCTTCAGCTCACAGATTTCTTCGACAGAGCTCATCCTCAAGGCAAGATGGTTCATATCGGGAGAGCACGCGCAGACAAAACGGAGCTCAATTCCTCCTAAAACTCTGAGAACTGTTCTGCTTTTTGCGTTTGTACCAAACAAAACACTGATTGTTCCAGTAAACCCCCTGGAACATCAAGACTTCCTGAAAATCTCTAAGATGAGTCTCTGCAAAGAATCTGCAGGGAATGCTCTTGCTATCTCGCCTCCTCTTGTATCCTGCGAATTTCAAGGCACTGCTTTCGGCTTTACAGCTTTTCCGCCTTCTTTGCCTCAGCTCTCTCTTGAACTCATCATATCCTCGTCTAATCGTGATAAAAGCCTGCTTCGCAGTAGCTCTTCAGACCTGCTATGATTTCTTCCCCTTTGCCTCCTTGCTTAGCCTTCCACCTCCTCGGTCGATGCCAATTTGTTCAGGTGACTGTCTCGTGTCGCTTCTAATGAATTTCGCCTTTTCATTCCTCTAAACTCTTTCTCTTGCTCTTTCTTGCTGACCAACTCATTCGTATACCTAATCTATGTCTCATCTCACCATACTCGTTGCCCCATCCGGCCTGAGCGCCACTCTCTCACTTCACTGCATAGTGGAAGAGCTTCACCAAGAAACTCTGACGCATGCCCCTTTACCCTCTCCTCTCCGTTTCTTCACAGCATTCATCCCTTGCCTTCAGTTCTTCTTCTCTTCCATCGTTGCCTGCTGTGGTGTGCTCTACTCCTCGCTCGCCGCCCTCCCCTCCTCCCCTCTTCCCCTTCCTCGCCATGACATTTTCCGTACTTCACATGTGAAGTACATGTGAAGTAATTTGTACACCCTACCCCCAATGAGAATTTTTTTACTACCCCTACCCCCGCAATATCCACCCTCTAGAGTTTATCCACCCCCATATCTATATTTTGATTTCAGTACCCCTTGTTGAACACGGAGGTGTTCTGTATCACCCCTACTTTAGAGATCAAAGTACCCCATAAACCACACACTTGCAAGCACCCCCACCTTCCTTTCTGTCCTCGTACTGCCTTACAAATACCCGCCTGTTTGACAACCCACCCCCTGTGTTCTGAGTTTGTAGATCCGTATAGCACCCCTACTTCAATCACTACCCCCTTGGATATCACCCCCTTTATGACCTATGAAATACACCCCATTGATAAGGTCTTGATACACCCCACCCCTCCATGAAATCTTCTCCGTAAAATTCCACCAGACAGCTCACTACCCTACCCCTCCATTTCACCCTCTTCAATCCTAGAACCACCCCACCCTAGATATCAACATTTTGATCATTCTCACCCCACCTGTATCGTCGGGCAGTTTCCCCCTTACCCACCCATCCGATTCGATCTTCTAAAAATACTACCCCCTTTTCTACTTACATGTACCCCCTTCTATCACTCAAGAATGAGTGATAAGATCGTGTTTTAAACCCCCTACCCCTCCTTTTGTGTCTACAGGTCTACCTGAGGTCCATAAAACTTTTCCCGTACAGCACCTTTACCTACCGGTACTAGCACCACCCCCTACCCTCACACAAACTCTTCTTGTTGCTACACCCACCCCAGGGAATACCTAGCATCAACTTAGAATTAACCCCCTACTTACCAAGTACCTACCACCCCACCATGCAATGAACTTGTTAAACTCGTGGTACCCTACCCCCCTTCCCTAAAACGACCCGGCACTTCCGGGGTACAGGCCACCTTGTTGACCTAATTTTTTTTCATTTTAAAGACTACCCCTGGTAAATACGGTACATCACTGGGAAACCACCCCCTCCAGCTAGCCCCCCGCCCCCGCCGGGGCCCCTTTCCGGCCATCGCCGGGTTATGCAAGCCTCGTACTATTTATTACTTAACTTTGAGTAAAAGACCAGCCTCGGTGGTGACCGTGAGCCTCCGATGCTCAGCGGCTCGGGCCGGAGTCGGTCGGAGTGACGGTCCGATCGGACCGGCCGGTTACCCGACTCCGGGCCACGCTCCAGGCTCCGGAAGTTAGCGCTCTGCATAGCGCTATGGTCACAGGTTGTTACTAAGTTAACTTGAAGGCCCGGCGGCGGCAATCCGATCATCGGATGATCCGATGATCGTCCGGCGTGAGCGGCAAGATTGTCCTCGTACTGATTTTTAATTCAACTTTGAGTAAAGAAGACAAGGCGGGAAACACGGAAAGAACTTATAGTTCCGAGTTCAATCAGTAAAGATAAACTTGAAAACTTGAACCAATCCAGCCCATGCCACTGACGAAAGTGAACTCAGCTCTAGTGACAATCGCGGCGATGCCGCTGAGTCGCCAAGACTTGAAGTTAGAGGAGGCGAGTCAACCCGTGCCACGGTCAGCTGGCCCGGGGAATCAATCGCTCGAGTCACTGGAGGACGCGGAGTCTTTCTTTGCTTGCTTGTCCTTCTGATCCGAATGTCACACGACGCTGGTAGGAGGGGAGGAACGAAGATCGTCTCTCACCTTGTGCTTCTTGTGCTTCTTGTGCTTCTTATCCTTGGAGCGCACTCAACATTAGGGCAGAGACGGGCAGAGAGCAGGAGATGGCACCTTCTTCTTCTTGTCCTTCTTCTTCTTCTCCTGTGCAAAGGGCTAAGAGGCGAGCAAACTTGACGAGCTCACATTGTGGTCACCTCCTTGAGCATAGCCTTGAGCTTCTTCATCTCATCCTTGTCGCCCTGCTCGAACTCAACAAGTGAGGAGTCTGGACAGCAGCAGCAGCCGCAGCAGCAGCAGCTCGTCCTTCACCTCCCTCGCGCTCCCTCCCGACATCCTCCGTGCATCTTGCTGCATCAACAAGTCAGACGAGAAGTGATATGCTGGGGATGGTGGCTACGTCTGGAGATGGTGACCTGACGATCGCGTAATCGCCGGATTGACCGTCATGGCCCCTCTTGCTTCTGTTGAGGCAAAGATGGTAAGAAGACAATCATCACAGGCAGATTTCAAACTTCTTCTGCAGCAGCGCCCAGGCATCTTCACGGAATTGTCCAGGGCTGAGGGTTCAGTGAAGTCAGGATCGGGCAGCCCATGGAGGAGGAGAGGAAGGAGGAGGAAGGAGGACGCAAGGGGATGGGGAGGGAGTTTTGCAGGGATGGGCAGTCAACAAACCGAGCAAGTGGGTCATCGATGTCGATCTTCCTCTCTCGATCCCTGTGGCCTCCAGGACCACTGCAATGTCCTCTTCAGCCTCCGGAAAGCAAGTATCACCTACTATGACCTCCTCCTGCTCTTCTCTACGAGGTATTCTGCGTTCTCCGGGTCCAAGTCTCTGCCAGATGCCTGAGCAAGCGAGGTCAGCCATGCTCATGTCCACGTGGCAAGGAGCTAGCATAGCTCAAGGCACCTGTGACGCATACTTCATGCTCAGAGAGATCTTCCCCTGCTCCTCGTCGATCTCGCACACCTATCCATCCTCCCTTCAGCACTGTCCTCCGCTCCACCACCTGAGCACGCTCACCTTGACCCACACATCATCACCAACATCAACGATGTCCTTGGGTTCAATACGCGTACCTCGACCAGAGTCCGTCAACTGACTGACATGGACGAGTCCCCACTTGGTGCAGCCCTCGATCTCCACGAAGGCTCCGAAGTCGGCAACTCGAACAACCTTTCCCTTCTTGATGGAGTACAACTCCGGCATTCTCCCTATCGGACGTGCTTGTTGTTGCCCCCTCTGGCTCGCATCGAAGGGCCTCTTTGTTCCACACTGAGCGCAACATCAGCGGTGAAGTCATATCCAGATTCCAGACCTTGAAGCATTCAGTCTTGCTCCCAAACACGTTGGCCTGACATTTCGGGCACGTCCAATCATTGTCCCTCCTTTGAATCGGAGGACCTGAGCCCCCTGGGCCTGAGAGTCCCGCCCTTCTTGCAAAAGCCTCTGCCCCGGAGACGCTCATCTTGCGTCTGCGGAAGTTAAAACCAACGTCGAGTAGCGGAGACGCAGTTCACCTGTACTCGCGGTATGCTTCATCCTCTCCACCCCCACTCTCTCTCTTCTGGCCACGATCCCTGTCATCTCTGCCTCTGTCTTCTCTTCCCCTCTCGAGCCCCCTCCTCTCTCTGCTCCTCTCTCTTTCCTTGCTTCTGTCCCTGCTTCGGCTTCTTCTGCTCCTGCTCCTGCTCCTGCTCCTGCTCCTCCTGTCCCTGCTCCTGCTCCTGCTCCTCCTGTCCCTGCTCCGGCTCCGCCTATCTCGGCTCCTGCTCCGCCTGTCCCGGCTCCTGCTCCTCCTGTCCCTGCTCCTGCTCCTGCTCAAGTCCCTGCTTCGGCTGCGCCTATCTCGCCGCTGATCTCTGTCTCGACTGCGCCTATCTCGCCGCTGATCTCTGTCTCGACCTCTACTTCCCCCATCTCTGTCTCTGGACAAGCTCCTGCAAACGCAAGGTGAAATTAGACGCTTCAACCCATGCCATCATGCAGTACCATCCCCTCCCTGCCCCCCCTCCCCGACCTCCCTCTCCTTTTCTCCGGTCCCACCTACCACCGGCACCCGGCCCTCGGCGTTTAAATCCTGTTCACTCCGCATCTTTCCCACATACTGGCAATCACCCACTCCCTTGATCCTCATCTTCTTTCCTGGTCCTTTCTCGCTACCTCTTCTTTTCAGCCCTTCCCGCCATCGTTGCTCTGGCACAAGAACGTCCCTCGTTGCGTCCCACACAGTTCCTGACTACCCTTGCCCTTCATCATCTCATCTCCATCATCTCATCTCCACTCCTCCATCCATCCTTCTCGTCCCTTCATTCATAATCCCTCCTCTTCCTCACTCCTTCCTCCTCCTCCCGCCCCCTCTTTGCCATTTTCTCCCTGCAGTTTACCTATTAGGTCGCATTTCTGCCGTCGTGTCCGCACTACCACTATTGAGCAACTGCTGGGGTAGGGGTACCAACAGATGGGTGGGGGTATTTACTCTCGGTGGTAGGGTATTTACAGGGGGTTATATAACGTCAATGGACGGGGTGACATGCAACAAAAATGGTAAGGGGCGACAATAGAAGGGGTGGTGAGAAAATATCAAGGGGTAGGGCTCGTCGAAGTGAATTCACCGGGGGTGGGGTGGGTCCCGCCCGGATCCTCAACTTCAGTCTCTGCCCCACAGGATTTTCTAAACTCACACCTGGGGCGAGCTTGAAATTTCAATCTGAAATTGAAAAAAGTACCCCTCCATAAAGTACCCCAACCCCCTATTTATACTAATCGTGTGAGTCAATGTACCCGTACTTTGAATGTGGATGACCACCAGTACCTCCTCAACTTCAACATTAGTACCCCACCCAGATATTTGGACGATATCACCACCGGTGATCATCTCTCCTCCCGCCCGCTTCATGCTGCGGATCCTCGTGCGGCTCGAAGGAGAGAAGGCGGGGAGAAGGAGGGAGAGAGGAAGAGGAGAGAAGATTGAGAGGGGAAGAATGACATCAAGGATGGCGAAGAGGAACAGGAAGGGAGGGAGGGCAAGGGATGGGAAGAGAGCGAAAGTGAGAGGAAACAGAGAAATGGGGCAAGGAAGCCTGTGGAAGGAAGGGGGGCGAGGGGATGTATGGAAGATGAACGTGATAGGATGTCAGGGAAAAATGATGAAACAGATGTAACATCAGTGAGAAAGAAAGCGACAGTGAGAAAGGACGTTCGATGCTGAGGATGAAGAATGAAGGACAAGGTGAAGGGCGGATAGTGTAAAACTCGGCGCAGTTGAAAGCGGGGGATTGATACGCGATGGTTGGAAGGAAAGCGAAGAGCGAGTAGATATCATAGTAGCATACATGTGTATGTTTGGGCTACAAGTGACGATGGTGAGAGTTGTTATCTGTCTTTGGTCAAGAATGCTTGTAGAACGAATTGAATCTCGATGCGGACGCGGCTATGATTTAAGTCGCTGAATTTCTTTGCTCTGTGCAGTCATCATGTCCATCTTTGGACATGACAGGTCATTCTTCCCTTCCAACGTGAGCCATGCCGGGGAGTCTCTGCGCTCAGCCGATCAAGCGCTGGATCCGGCTGTACACAAGGCTGAATCGTTGGCAAGAGTTCACAAGGTGAGGAGCTGCCATGTTGGCGGAGGATGCCATCGACTGACGGCAACGACGTTGCAGCTGCTGGATGAAGAGATGGACAACGATGAGAGGATGAGGCTGAGGGGTCAGTGGGCAGGAGAGCGCAACAGCGTGTATGAGGCAGACGACGTTGGGATCGAGTTCTCAGCGGAGAGCCGAGATCGCCTCCCGGACCTTGTTGTGAGCAGGTTGGAGAACATGCGGGACCTCTGCTTCTTCGGAATCCTGCGCGAGATCAACATCGCCTGGGCTTCCGTGGACGACGTCATCTGCCTTTGGTCTCCTGTAAGCCGTGCCTGCTGTGAACTTTCGTCCTCATATGCTCCTCCTAGGTCCCGCAGGAAGGGACTCGTCCTCCCGCACGGACCTTGCACTGCAAAGACTACGTGACAGCGGTCTGCCTCGTGCGACCGGACCCGAGCAAGACGTACGACTGCGACGGGATGCCCATGTTCTTCCTGGCCGTTGGCTTGCGAGAGAGTGTGGAGCTGTTCAAGCTTGAGCTGACTGAGACGGAGATCGTCATCCATGACACCAACATCGAGATCCCCGTTGAGTCGTACGTCTGCAAGATGGTCTCGACTCCACTTGGTCGACTCTTCATCGGGTGCTCCGATGGCTGCGTGTACGAGCTTCACTACGATGAGGACGATTACTCTTTGAGGTAAGGAGCAACCCCCCGCACACACACACCTGCCGCTTGGCCGCTACATCGTACTGAGAGCTGCTTTTTCTTGGCAGCTCCTTCTGGCGCCCGAGGAAGTTCCGAAAGAAGTCATGCCAGTCCTTCCGCTTCGATGAAATCTTCCGCGGTGTCTCGCGGATGATCAAGACGGTGGACACAGACCCCATCACTGAGATGGTCTATGATTCCTCTAGGCACATCCTCTACGCCCTCTCCCAGCAACGGGCCGAGCAAGACTCCCAGCGGTCTGCCATGCAGAGAAGCTACATCTGTCGCTACTCCCTCGGGCCTGACGGCCGGTCGGGAGTTCAGTACCTGGGCCGGTCGGACCTTGAGAGGGCAACGCAGGGGATCGAGCAGGCAAGGAGGATGCCGATGAGTCAGGGAGCGAAGGCAGCAGACCATGACATCGTCGCTGTGCATGCGATCGACGTGGCAGAGAGCGTGCAGTGTCAGTGTGTTCTGGTCACTTCGACTGGCTACAGGATCTTCCTCGAGTGGCAGGAAGGATCGAAGCAAGTCAGGGTGAGATCTACCAAGGCCCCTCCCTCTGCAGCTGCCGCCATGCACGGAGGCAGGAGCATGCCGGAGACGAGGGTGCAGTGCTCCTTGTACCGCCATGGCATCTTCTTGCTCGGCATGCCGAACCTGGTCGTGTGCATTGCTGGGACGCACAACCAGTCAGAAACGGAGGAGAGGGAGGTTTACTTTGAGATCCCGATGGCCCAGCATTTGCCGGATGCGTACGGTGCTGTGCAGATGTGGATGCTGGAGGAGGTGACCTGCCTTGCTGGGAGCGGATCTGCTGTCGTCCCTGCTGGGACCAAGGCGAACCCAAGGGGAGGGACCGTTCAGTCCACCAACGAGCTCCTGCAGCAGCACGTCTCGTCTCCGAGGAGGTTCTTGTGCATAGGAAGCAGCGGAGTTGTTGTCGTGCACAGGCAGCAGCCGTGGGAGAAGCTCAGGTTTGCCTCTCAGCACGCGGAAGCCTTGGAAAGCCAGGCAAGGATGCTGGGGAAAGAGGGCTGGCATTACTTCCTCCGGTTTCCTAAGGAGCAGGCATGCGCCTCCGCCATCTATTGGTGGGTCCAGGCAGGAGGAGGGCAGCAGCAGTACAGCGACCCGTCGAGGAGGAGGACGGAGGCTGAGCAGGCAGCGAGCGTGTTTTTCCACACGGCATACAACGTGGACGTGCAGCAGGTAGCGCACACAAGCTTCCGAGAGGAGGAGCTCAAGGAGCCGCGCATGCGCGGTTTGCTCATCGCCCTTTCAAGGTTCCTGCGTCCTGTCTGGTGGTACAAACTTTTTGACGCCTCCTCGTCCCTCCTCTCCCACTCCGAGTGGGAGCGACTGGTGTGGCAGCTGCAGCTCTTGGCTAAGTTCCTCACGGACAACGAGGACAAGCTGCCCAGGGGGAAGGGCCTGGGAATGACGCAGTCGAGGATGGCGCTGGGGAGCTCGAGCTTTGCGTCGTCGGTCAACAGCCCAGGGCTGCCGCTGTCAGTGCGGGAGATAAGGGACATGGTGAACATGTGCAAGGAAGTCTGCTCCTTCATGGCGATCGCAACTCGGAACGGGCTGGGCAGCATCCTGCAGGAGGTGGACTTGTCGCAGATCAAGGAGCTTGAGTTCAAGACGGCAGTCCTCCGGCTGGTGGGGAAGCCAAAACAGAACGAGATCTACCTGCAGCAGCAGGTGCTCGCGGTGATCGAGAAGCTTATCGAGCAGAGCCCCGCCTCGCAGCCTCGCCTCCTCCTCCCGGGCGAGCAGGCCTTCTCTCCGTCCTCTGTCAACGACTACATGGTGCGGTCGGCGATCAGGAGGGAGAAGCTGATCCGGGACATCGAGGAGCAGTGCCCCAACATCTTCAGACCCGCCGAGCACAGCAAGATGAGGGCCCGGAAGTGCCTGGCGGAGGCCCGGGAGTCCTACCAGTACCACCCCGATCGGGTGCAGCAGTGCCTGTCCGAGGCCCGGGAGCTCTACAACCGGGTCAGCAAGGACTTGAACGAGGACGACATTCATCGCATGTGCGACAGCTTCTGCGAGCTCAATGAGCACCTGGCGGCCATCCAGGTCCTCCTCAAGAGGTTCTCGGAGAAGTCGGAGCCCGTCTCCCCAGCTGAGGCCGCGAAGCTGCAGCTCCTCCTCCACCTCCTCGCATCCCAGTCGGACAAGTCCTCCTTCACCAAGGCGCTTGAGGTCGCTCTAGAGCACAAGGGGCTCTACACCTCCCGCGTGTCCTCTGTCGACGTGAACACCAACGAAGAGTTCCTCTTCCCTACCGTCTACGTCGTCTTCCGCTCCGTCCTCGATGACTCGAGCTTCGGGTCGCTCTGGCCGATCCTCCGCCGCCTTCCCCTCCTCAAGAAGTCCTCCGCCCCCCAGCACCACCTCATCGCCTTCCTCCGCGGCAGGCCGGACGGCCCGGACAAGCTGGTGGAGCTGTACAACGAGACCGGGCAGTTCTCTAAGGCAGGGGAGATCTGCTTGCAAGAGGCAGTGAGGCCTGTGGAGAAGGGGGTGCCGACCCTCGACGATCGCATCCGTTGGTACCGTGAGGTGCTGCTGCTACTTCTGATCCTTCCTTCCCACTGCTACTCCTTCTCTCCTCTCCTCTCCTCTCCTCTCCTCTCCTCTCCTCTCCTCTCCTCTCCTCTCCTCTCCTCTCCTCTCCTCTCCTCTCCTCTCCTCTCCTCTCCTCTCCTCTCCCCTACTCTTCTCCGCTCCTTCTCTCCTTCTCTTCTCCTTCTCTTCGTCTTCTTCTTCTCCTCTCCTCCTTGCAACTCGCTTGTCGACTCCTCTCCCTTCCCCCCTCTCTTTCCCCTCTGCTCTCCTCGCCCTTATCTTCCTCGCTCTCCCCCTCCTCTCAACCAACACCCACGTGACCAGCTGCGAGCAGGCCGCCAAGGCAGCGAAGCTCAACGGAGGCATGCTCAACAGTCAGCACCAGGCCACCATGCTAGACCAGTACGCGGACATCTGCCACATCCAGCAGCATCTGCTTGAGCAGGTTGACATTCTCCTCCGCCGCAAGCCCAGCAGCGCCCTCCGAGCCATGGCCGCGAGGATGCAGGAGAGGGCCATGGGGCTGCAGGACTTGTTCGGGTGCTCGGTTGACGCCGAGTGCTACGAGGTTGCTCTCGAAGTCTGCGAGCTGGCGTCGTCAGCTGGAGAGGTGCAGGAGGACGCCATGAACTTGCCGCAGGTGGTCAAGAAACTCTGGACCCTCCTGCTAGAGCAGGCGTGGACGGCGCCATGGGAGGAGGAGGAGGAGGCGCAGGACGTGAGGAAGAGGTGGAGGAGGGTGGAGGCGGCGATGGCGAGCGTGGGAAAGCGGTACATCCCGAAACCTGCCTTCCTCCCTCTGCAGGAGATCGTCGAGTGGCTGGAGGAGAAGGTGAAGCAGGAGGAGGAAGGGGGGGAGGAGGACGGGAAATGGGAGAGACGAGGAGGAGAGGAATTGCACAGGGAGAGGACGAGGACGAGGACGAGGACGAGGACGAAGCTGATACTGGTTCAGGCGTACAAGAACCTTTATGGTCCTTGCCCGGCGAGTT